TTGAAAATATGATGATGCACAAATAAGATTATTACTCACCTTTGTCGTGATTTAGAAATTAACATAAAGGGTCTTCCCTTCTTTAAAAAGGGTCTTCCCTTCTTTTTGACAATGACTAAGGGGGAGATAGCTAGCTTGCACAATTCAAGAAGAAAGCAAAAATTGCACTTCTCAAAAGAGAAGAAATTGCTATCTTGAACATCACTGAAAATTGCTAGCTTGAAACATCAAGAAAATACAAAAATGTGCTATCGTGCCTATCTCAAGAAAAGCAAATATGCCAACTTGCACATATTTGAATTTGCTAGCTTATAAAACTTGCATATTTCAAGAAGCAAGAGTTGCTTTCTTGAACATCTCTAAATTGCTAGCTTGCAAGTTCTAAAATGTTGTAAAATTGCTAGATTGCATGATGATAAAAACTTAATATTATGTTTTTCATGCAATGAGTTGAACCCATATAACAAACACTTGATTGTGGTACTTCTCCTTTTTGTTGATGACAAAGGGGGAGAAGTATGTTGATGACATGACATGTGATGCATAAGTTTTATGCATATGTTCATGATGATGTGTTGCAAGTATTCATGATGAATATTGTAATGACTTGAATTCAGTTTGAATTCAAGGTTCTATCAATATGGCATATTGATAGGGGGAGTTTGTTTAAACTCCGGGAGTTAAGGTTAACTCCGTCATCAAGTGGTTGTCATCATCAAAAAGGGGGAGATTGTTGAATCTCGTATTTTGATGATGAAACCACTTGATATGTGTTTATAATTTAAACTGCATTTTGAGTGATGCAGATCTACTCGATCAGGATTAGACAGTTAACGCAGGAGGAATTGACATTGCGCCGGAGGAGATCACGTTAGGATGGCAAAAGACTTCAGACGTCGGGCATCGGGCCAAGGAGAGCGGAATTGCGCCAAGGATATCGTGGTTGCGGAGGTCAACCGCCGATTGGGCAACAAGCCGCAAGAGAGGACGATGCGCTGAAGAATTGGACGAAGCACCAACCAATGACGTGCCGGGCAACAAAATGTCAATTCGCGTTGTAATAATTGTCTAGATCGGAGTAGAGTTTTAGCTTGTGCGTGCAGGATTAACTACGATAACGACAAAGACATAAAGCAAAACAAAGTGTCGGAGTCAAGCACGAAGGATTCGTTGCGAGTTCGAGAGTTCGACGGAAGTCCGAAGGTTCGTCGGGAATGCTGCCGGAACCATCCAAGAATAAGTAGGGAGCTTGCCGAAGGGTTTTTCGGAAGCTCACCGGAAGGTTCATTGGAAGTTCACGGAGCTCGCCGAGAAAGATCGGAGCTGGCCGAAGAAGCTCGTTGGAACTCGACAAGATCAAATCGTGAAGTCTAGGAGCTTGCCGGGAGTCCGCAGAATGGTTTCCGAGAGTTTATCGGAAGACCGTCGGAAGTTCGCCGGAAGCTCGCCGGAAGAAGTCTTGACTTACGGACTTTGTAAAAGCTTAGAAAATATCTTTAAATTCATAGTTAGTATGTTAATTAGGGTTAAGATTAGGTGTTAATCCTATAACCCAAGTAGGAGCCAATTGGGCCCGAGTTCGGACTGGTTTGGGCCAAGTTTGGAGCCCAACCAGTGAGCTGAATTGGCCTAGGCGGTGGCACCGCCCAGCACCCGAGAGCTGGGCGGTGGCACCGCCAGTCCACTGTCAGTGTCAGAAACTGACAGGCGGTGGCACCGCCAGCATCGGGAACCAAAGAGAATTCAAATTTTGGAGCCCAAATTTGAATCCTCTTGAGGCCTATAAATACCCCTCAAATCTCAGCTGAGATAACAACCTTTTGGAGAAGCTAGAAGTTGAGAAAAGTTTTAGGAAAAGTCTTGTTTTCAATAGCTTGAGTGTTCACCTCCTTTCTTTTCATTGAAATCTTTGTAAAAGGGTGAACCACTTGTAAGAGGTTGTAAGAGGGGTGTAAGAAGGAGGTTGATCTTCGCCTAGTAAAGGAAGATCATTAGTGGATGCCGGTGGCCTCGACGGAAGAGGAATCGGAGGAGTGGATGTAGGTCACGATTGACCAAACCACTATAAACTACCGTCTTCTCTGGTTTGCATTTATCTTATTGTCATTTATATTACTGCAAACCATCTTCATTTTGATGCTCTACTTCTTTGTCTCCTTCTTACATATGCCTTCAAGTTAAAACGCAATCGAAACGATTTCAAACAAAACGTTGCTTTTATCGTACGAAGTTTCCGTAAGTGTTTAAATCGTCGAAAGTTTCCGTAAGTGTTTAAATCTTCGAAAGTTTATCATACTTTACCGTTGCACTAATTCACCCCCCCCTCTTAGTGCCACTCCGGTCCTAACAGAACCATCGAGCCTGGGCATCACTCACTCGTTCACTCGATCACACATCGACGCATTGCCAAATCGTTCCTATGCCTCAAGTCTCACACTCTCATTTGTCACGTTCCCATTGGCCATTTCTACCTTATGTAAAACGAAAAAGAATGACATGAGTAGCTTTAGATTGGAATATGAAGTCTTAAATCTTATTTAACACATCAAATTAAACATGCTTTATAGAATCAAAATTAAATTTTAGAATGTTTCCATAAAAAATTATTAAATTCATAATAATATACATGAAATCCTATAATAATTATGAAACATATTAACACGGAAGCGTACCTGATGAATCTATCGACATATTTTGGTTTAATTGGTGAATTAGCCTTCCAATTACAAAGTGTTTCTAAGAACCCTTTTGTTTCTCTTTAATAGGTGAAGAGAAATATGAAAATTGATACTACAATTGGAGACCATAACTCCATTTATATTCATAACTGTATCTATAGTTATGCCCCAAGATGTTTCATATTTCTAACTTGTCTTATCATCAAGTTAAAAATGTAACTGATAGTATCCACATAATTAATTTTCATAACAATTATACCCCTTAGTCAAATAAGTTTACTTTAATTAGATCATTTTTATTTTTTGGCTAATCAAAGTAATGACTTAACATATTTAATTATGCATGTGTAACCCTTAAAATTCTAAGTATCTCCCACTGGGTCACATATATATATCCTTATAAATGTGATATAGTTTATGAGCTCAAAACTGTTGCCATTATTAAACAAGGCATATAATATAATCTCGTCCATTGGCCATATTAATATAGGACCAAAATAGTCTTTGCTATATTAATCATAGCTAAATCAATCAATGATCACTAATATTACTATAACCAAATGACATAGAACAATCATGAAATATATAGCATGAAAATTACATGAATGTAATATGTACATGTCAATTTTCAACTGGTCCAATTTTATCTTTATGAGATCATTAATAACTTTAATAGTCATAATATATAAAGCATAATAAATTGAAACTTTCTTTCTAATCAGAAAATATCTATATAAATATAGAATCTGGCATAGAACATACAACAAATATATAATAAACTCCCACTAAACTGAAGTTTCCTTAAATTCTAGTATATTCATACGAGCAATATGCTCATGAAATAACTTGGGTGGTACACCTTTTGTGAGAGGATCTACCAACACAAAGTTTGTTCCTAAATATTCTATAGAAATTTGTCTACTTTGTATCCTTTCTCTCACAACTATGAACTTGATGTCAATGTGCTTTGACTTACTCGAGCTCCTATTATTGTTGGAGTATAAAACAGTTGATTTATTGTCATAGTATATCTTTAGTGGTCTTTCAATCCCTTATACTATTTTCAGCCCTATGACAAAATTCTTCAACCAAATTTCATAATTGGATACCTCAAACCATGCTACAAATTATACTACCATGGTGGAAGAAGTATAAGAGATTGCTTGGCACTACGCCAAGAAATCGCCCCACCAGTCAACATATAAATATAGCCCAAAGTGGATTTCCTACTGTCTTGGCATCCAGTAAAATCGGAGTCAGAATACCCAATTATCTCCAAATGGTTTGATCTTCTATATCTTCTTTAAATATCTCATAAATCCTGCCTTCCAATGATCCATTCCAAGATTGCTTAAGTATCTGCGTAACACGCCAACAATGTATGCTATATCCAGACGTGTACAAACTTGTGCATACATTAGACTCCCTACAACTGATGCATACCAAATCTTCTGCATTTCTTGAGTTTCTAGATTTCCTTTAGGGCACTGATTGAGACTGAACTTATCTCCCTTTTTAATTTTACGTTTAGTACTTCATAATTCCGTATTCAGGGATTCATAATAGGACGCTATAGTATCAAGCAAATATAGATTGTCATAAGTCATAAGTGAACTAGTTCCAATCACTTTTGAATTTAAAGACAAAGTAAACTGATTGTTTCCAAATGAATAAGAATAACCATATTTGTCCAAATAAGAAATATAAATTAAATTTCGTCTAAATGATGGTATAACAAAAGTGTCTTTCAAATCCAAATAGTATCCGGTACACAATAACAATCTAAATATGTCTATAGCTTCCACATCTATTAATTTTTCATCCCCCATATAAATGCATATCTCAACATCATTTGGCCTTCGGTAGCATAGGCAACCCTGCATTGAAACACTGATGTTAGTAGTTGCACCAGAGTCTAACCACTAAGTGTTTCCAGATACTGAAGTTAAATTAACTTTATAACAAACCAAAGTAACGAAGATACCCTTTTTAGCACGCCAAGTGTGATATTTGGCATAGTCCTTCTTCAAATACCCAAATTTCTTATAGAAGAAACAAGTATCATCTTTATTTTGTTTCTTCTATACTAGACTCTTATCAGCCTCATTCTTTTTATATTTATATTTTTTTTCTTACCCTTGTCCTTAGAGGTACTCGCCAAGTTGGTACTTTCAATCTTTTCTTGCTTCAACTTTTTTCTTCTTGCACACAATATAAAATGAGCTCATTAAGAGATCATTTGTCCTTTTGACAGTTATAACTGACCTTAAACTGACTGAATTGTGAATGGAGAGATATTAAAACTAAATGGACAAATAAGTCCTATGATAAGCCAAGCTTTAATGCTTTAAGCTTTGAAGCAAGTTTAGACATCTCCATGATATACTCCCTTATATTTCCTTTGTCATTGTACCTCATGGAAATCAAGCTTTGTAGCAGAGTGCTTGTTTTCGCCTTATCATTTGTAAGAAAACGCTTTTCTATTCCGGTAAAGAAATCTTTGGCCTTGGTAATCCCTTCAGATATCGCACCCCTAAAGACTTCCGGAATGTCACGCTTAATGATCATGAGACTCATGTGATTAGACCTGTCCCACTTTTCATATAGTTTCCTTTCATCAGGAGTACTATTTTCCGTAAGAGAAGTGGGTTGGTCTTCCCTTTGTTGAATCTCGTATTTTGATGATGAAACCAATTGATATGTGTTTATGTTTTAATCTGCATTTTGAGTGACACAAGATGCTTCGATCAGGATGAGACAATTAAAGCAGGAAAAATCATGTTGTGCTGGGGGAAAACATGTCAGAAGATTAGACGTCGGGCCGGAGGAACGGTCAACATATCGACAAAAGGCTTCGGGCCATGGATTCGAGCATCAGGCCAAGAAGGGTAGATATTACGCCAAGGATATCGGAGTTGCGAAGTTAACTGGCCGATTGGGCAATAGGTCGCAAGAGAGGACGATGCGCCGAAGAATCGGACGAAGTGTCGAGGGACCAATAACATGCCGGACAACATTATTAATGCTTAGTATTAATTGTTTAGATCGAAGTGTGTTTTACATGTGCAGGATTAACTATGATAGCAAGGCATGAAGCAAAATGAAGTCTCGAAGTCAAGGACATGATTTCGTTGGGAGTTCGAGAGTTCGTCGGAAGTTCTAGCGGAACCAGCCGAGAAGTCTCGGAGCTTGCCAGAGAAGCTCATCGAAACTCGCCAAGAAGATCGTCGTGAAGTCCAGGAGCTTGCCGGGAGTCCGCCGGAACATTGCCGAGAGATCGTCGGAAGTTCGCTGGAAGATCATCGGAAGCTCGCCAGAAGAATAGCCATATGGACTTGTTTAGCTTAGCAAATGTCTTAAGATTTCGTAGTTAGCACATAATTGGGCTTGGATTTGGGCCAACCTAATTAGGGGCTAGCTAGGCCCATGTAAGAACTGTGTTGGGCCCAATAAGAGGCCCAAACAGTGCCCCAAGAAGTCTCACCGTCATGACACAGTCTTTCAGACTGTGTCAGGCGGTGGTACCGCCAGCCTGGGTGGTTGTACCGCCTCTAGCAAGGTGCCAGGCGATGGTACCGCCCAAGGCAGTGTCAGTCAGACTGACACTGGGCGGTGGTATCGCCCAATGTAGGCGGTAGGACCACTCGTGCCCGGAGAACCCGGGATGGGAAAGTTTTAAGCTCCAAGTTTGAATCAACTTGAAGCCTATAAATACCCCTCTCATCCATAGTTAAACAACGCAAGCATAGAGAGATTAAAAGAGAGAAAACGCTGCTGCGATCATAAGTGTATTCCCTCCTCTAGCTTAAACTTAGATTTCTATTTAGAGAGGAGAGTGAGTACTTATAAGGGTTATCTCCTAAACCCAGTAAAATGAGAAGAGGGGTGTAAAAGGTGATTGGCCTTCGCCTATTGAAGGAAGGCCTCTAGTGGACGCCGGTGACCTCGTTGGAGGAGGAAGCCGAAAGTGGATGTAGATCACGTTGACCGAACCACTCTAAAACTCTAGTTTGCATTTACTTATTGCTATTTACCTTATTGCAAACCTCCATATGTGCTTTACTTCCTCGTTACTTTTGCCGCACACCTTTACAAACATGCTTTCAAGTTAAGTATATTTTCGAGATCGGTTTTCAACGAACGAGAAAATTTTTGAAACTGACATTTTTATCCGCTTCAACGAAGTTTTTGAAGACGTTATTTTATCCGCTATACTAATTCATCCCCCCTCTTAGTGCCGACCTCTTGATCCTAACACCCTTAATACAAGGTCCAAATCCATGCAGCCTAAAACGATCAGAATATTTTCCTTCAAATCCTTAAAGTTGGTTCCGTTTTGAATAGCAGATATTGTTGCAAGAGAACCTAAACAACAAAACAATATACAACCATAAATTATAATTATATATATTTCCATAAACTTAAGTAAACTCAAATAATGATATAACTCATCTAAAGATTTCACGTGCAACATTAATATCTTGTCTTTGGACTTCAATATTAATTGTTAGTGGTAGTCTTATTGTAATGATAATAAGGCATATCAAATGATAAATTCATATTTGGATTTATTTATTATTCACATATACAACTTTATAATTATTACATGTTTACCATGTGTGTATAGAATCCTACCGGTCAATTAACCTTGAGCCGAATAATTTTCACATGGATGTAAATACATACTGCCACACATGAGAGGTCACTTTAGTAACTTCATGCATCAAATTAGTCAATCGAATATTAAACAACTATATAATCACTAATTGAATTTGAACCATATTAATCAAATTAGCTTAACCTTAATTTATTGATTGAAACATTTGCCGCATATAAGCTATTCGATTTATGTCAACAATCAACTTTATATAACCAATATTATGTTTAAACCAACTATTATTAATTGAATTTGTATGAATTTAATTAATTAGATAAAATCCAAATGTATTTTAAAAAATAAACCGGAAGATGCACTGCAATGAGGAAGTTTATGCATTATAAAAATAAACAACAATAGGAACTCTAATATCATGTGTTGTGCATACTGTGAAGAGGAAAAAACACAAAAAGGAAAAAGCATATAAAACCATCATCTTTCCTGATGACAATATAATCGAATCACGCCAAAATACTAATAAAAAATAGCATTAAAATGCATGAAAAAATGAGCTTAGATGTTCAGTAATCATTGTAAGAGCAACTCTAATATCATGTGTTAGTTATTTAACACATCAAATGTAGATCAAACATGTTTTATAGAATCAAAACCAAATTTTAGAATGTTTCTATAAAAACTTATTAAATTCATAATAATATACATAAAATCATAAACAATTATGAAACATATTAACACGAAAGTATACCTGATGAATCCATCGAAGTATTTTAGTTTAATTGGTGAATTAGCCTTCTAATTGCATGGTATCTCTAAGAACCCTTTTGTTTATCTTTGATAGGTGAAGAGAAATATGAAAATTGATACTACAATCGAGGACTATAACCCTATTTATATTCATAACTGTATCTACAATTATTATAACTCAGGATATTTCATATTACTAACTTGTCTCGTCATTAATTGTATCCACACAATTAATTTTTATAATAATTATACTTCTGAATAATTTTACTTTAATTATATCACTTTAATTTTTTGACTAATCAAAATAAGAACTTAACATATTTAATTATGGATGTAGATAATTATCAGCTTTTGAGATGGACCCACATGATTTGGAGATTTGAGCTCTCCAAGATATTAGCTTAGAAGTTGGTCGTCAATCCCAATTTTAAAGACAATTTAACTTGATTTTAATGTTGACACTGATAAGTAGATGAGATTAGATGAGATTTCCCTAACTGTTTGAGGAAATCTATCTCTCTACTCTGTTGAGGGAAATCCTCTATTAGAGCAGTTCCTCCTTGCGACAGCAGTATCGCCGTGTGTTAGCCAAGCGGCCACAGTAACATGCTACCTCTTCCTTCATCACCGGTCTTGCTTTTCTTCGCCGGCCTCGCTTCCCTCTACACAACGGCGCCTCCTTAACGGCGGTGTCCTCCTCCTCAATAGCGACGAACGACGAACAGCGGTGTCTTCCTCGCTCAGTCTTCCTTGCTTAACGATGGCTACCGCGTCTTCCTCCTTCGCTGTCGCAGTTGCTTCCCGACCAACAGCAGCCGCAACCGCTGCATCTTCCTTCCTCTACCGCAGCAGCTTTCGCTGCCACTTTCCTCTATACATCTAATTGCTGTAGATTTCTTTCACTGCAGTTTTCTTGAGTACCGCTGCAGATTTTCACGGCTATTTCCCGGCGAACCGCAGCCTTGAGTACCGCTGCATTTTTCACGGCCATCTTCCGGCGAACTGCAGCCTCTACAATCTGCTGTAGCAAGTAGCAATCCACAGCAGCGAACTGCATCCTCTACAATCTGCTATAGCAAGCAACAATCCACAGCAACTGCCGGCATCTTTGGGCACTGTTGTAGATTACTCAATTTGCTGCAGCAATCTATAGCAGCAGCCCCTTCCCTCATTCTCCACCTTGTGTGACTTGCGTATCACATAAGGTTCGCTGCACTTCTTCCAAAAAAAAAAAAAATAGAAAAAAAAAATGTCTTCGTTCACTTCTTCTGATGTTTTAGTTCCTGTAGAGACTCCCACTTCTTGTTCTTCTAAAGGGCTTATCTCCATCAATGCTGTCATGCTGATCCCCTTTAAGTTATCAAAGGGTGGCAACTATGCGTCCTGGCGAGCTCAATTTTCTAATCTTTTATTTGGATACGACTTGTTAGGTTACATTGATGGCTCTTTCAGTTATCCTCCGGCCATGCTCAACATCCCCGATGATCCCAGTCCAGTACCCAATCCAGCTCACAAACTGTGGCTACGTCAAGATCGTCTCATCCTCCAAGCTATTCAAGTTTCAGTTGCTGGATCCGTTGCTCCCTTGATATCTTCATGTGTGACAACTACTGATTTATGGTCTACACTGCAAACCACCATGGCAAATCATTCGCGTACTCGCAAGCTCAATCTTCTATCCAAGCTTATGGTGACAAAACAAGAGGGAAATACTATCTCTGATTATCTACAACATATCAAGGTTATCATTGATGACTTGGCCTTGATAGGTCATTCCCTATGTGACGAAGAGGTTGTCATTTATACCCTCAATGGTCTCGACACCGACTACAAGGAATTGGCTGCTGCAATTCGGGCACGTGACTCGCCAGTCTCTTTTGAAGATCTCTATGATAAGCTGACTGACTACGAGATGTACTTGAAGCATGCGGACAACCTGCCTGGATCAACTATCACAGCTCAAGTCAATCACAAGTCTAAACGGAAGAGCACTCGGTACTCGCCGAACATCACCCAAGGTTTGGCTAATGCGCCTCTTGATTCTGTGAGTTCCATGCAACACCCCTCCTATCCTCCTAGTCATCACTTCTTGCAAAATGGCAACTCCAGCCATCATCCGTCTTGGCGTCCTGCCCTACCAAACCATCAAAGACGGGTCGTTTGCCAACTGTGTGACAAAGTCGGCCACTTCGCTAAAGTTTACCGGTCTCGTCCCCGCCTCCCTACTCCGTCACACTGGCCTCAAGCAAATCTCCTAACTTCTCCGACAACTAGCCAGTCCAACTGGATTGTCGACTCTGGTGCCTCTCATCACATCATCGCTGATCTTCAGAATTTGTCTCTTCACAATCCCTATGGCGACCATGAAGATATCATCATCGGTGATGGTAAAGGACTTCTTATAACTCATACTGGTTCCACAACGCTTAATTCTGACTCTAATACATTTACCCTCGATGATGTTTTATGCGCTCCTCATATTAAACGCAACCTTATTTCTGTTTCTCAATTTTGCAAACATAATAATACTTCCATTGAATTCTTTCCTGATTCATTTCTTGTTAAGGACTTGAGCAAGGGGGCATCATTGGTCCAAGGCCCAAATAAAGACAACATTTACGAATGGCCGTCAGCCTCTCGAATAACCCAGCCCACTGTTCATTCTTCTGTTGCGGCTCCAGTTAACGTGTGGCATTGTCGGCTTGGTCATCCCTCGTCCTTTATTCAGCATAAGTTATTATCTCGTCACTCTCTTCCTCTTTTTATATCCACTACTTCTATGATGCATTGTGATGTTTGTCTTAGTAATAAGAGTCATCGGCAGCCTTTTGGCTCATCTTCCATTTCCTCCTCTAAACCTTTTGAAATTATATATACTGATGTTTGGGGTCCTGCTCCAATCTTATCTTTTGATAAGTTCCGATTTTATGTTATTTTTGTAGATCACTTCTCTAAGTACATATGGATATATCCTCTTTACCTCCTTCTCGTCCAAGTGTTCTTGACGTGTCTCCCCTTGACTCGACTTGTGCCACAGATCCTCACCCAACATCACCTCCCAATCCTGTCGTCTCCAATCATCCTATAACCACTCGCTCTAAGCATGGTATTTTTAAACCTCGTCAGGTACTTAACCTACAAGCTATCATGAATTCCTCATCCCCCACCGTTGAACCCACCACCTTCACTCAAGCCCAAAAATCTTCGCATTGGCGTACTGCCATGAGTGAGGAATATAATGCCCTTCTCCATAATTCAACGTGGGATCTCATTCCTTTCCATCCTTCACAAAACATCATCGGGTGTAAGTGGGTCTTTAGAATTAAGCGGAACCCAGATGACTCTATTGCCCGATATAAGGCACGCCTGGTCGCCAAAGGGTTTCATCAACGACCTGGAGTTGATTTCACTGAGATGTTTAGTCCTGTTGTTAAACCCACTACAATCCGACTTATCTTGAGTTTGGCTACCACTAAAGGCTGGCAATTATGACAATTGGATGTTAATAATGCCTTTCTACAGGGATCTCTATCCGAAGATGTTTTTATGCAACAACCCCCCGGTTTTACTCATCCTCAGTATCCACAGCATGTTTGCAAACTTCGGAAAGCCATTTATGGACTTAGTCAGGCTCCGAGAGCTTGGTACACTGAACTTAGCTCATTTTTTACTTCTGTCGGCTTTCTTAACTCCAAATCTGACACTTCGTTGTTTCTGCGACATCATCATGGAAACACAATGTATATTCTGGTATATGTTGATGATATTATTGTCACAGGCAACAATCCCATCAGCATCCAAGCGTTCATCAAATAGCTGGCAGCTCGAATCTCGCTTAAGGATCTCGGACCCTTGAGCTACTTTCTGGGCGTCGAAGCTACCTTCACTTCTTCCGGTCTCCTTTTATCACAACGCAAGTACATTCAAGATTTGTTATTAAAGACAAACATGCAGGATGCAAATGCAGTTACAACCCCTATCTCTACTAGTGGTTCTCTCAAATTATCGGATGGAAGTCTTGCTACAGAACCCACTCAATACCGTCAAGTTGTTGGCTCTTTATAATACTTAGCTCTCACGCATCCATACATCTCATTTGCTGTCAACAAATTATCACAGTTTATGCAGCAACCATCTACTCTACACTGGTCTAAGGTCAAGAGACTTCTACGATATCTTAAAGGGACCCTAAATCATGGACTCTTTTTTCGTAAAAACTCTCCACTTCGTCTTCATGCCTTTGCCGATGCTGATTGGGCAGGTAACCTTGATGATAGAACATCCACATCGGGGTTTATTATTTTCCTTGGTGCTCATCCAATCAGTTGGAGTTCTAAGAAGCCAAAGACAGTCGCCCGGTCTACAACTGAAGTTGAATACCGTGCCATTGCCGCTACCACTGCAGAACTCAATTGGATCACGAATCTACTCCAGGAACTCAACATCGATTCCACTCCTACAATATATTATGATAATATTGGAGCTACCTATCTGTGCGCTAATCCGGTATTCCACTCCCACATGAAACATATTGCTATCGACTTCCACTTTGTACGCGATCAAGTTGTTCGCCGTCAACTTCGTGTTTCTCATGTTCATATGACTGATCAATTGGCCGACTCATTTACGAAGCCTCTAGCTTGTAAACTTTTTGCATTACATCAGCCCAAGATTGGCCTCCTTAATCGGAGCACCATCTTGCGGGGGCATGATAAGTAGATGAGATTAGATGAGATTTCTCTAACTGTTTGAGGAAATCTCTCTACTCTGTTGAGGGGATGTGTTAATAATAATCAACTTCTTCTACAACTTGTTTATCTATTTATTTTCTAACAGACACACCAGTAGAATTGTCCAATAGCATAAACTTTGAGGAAAGATGATCTCCGATGAAAGCTCTAAGCTTGATCCAACCTTTGGAAGACTTTTTATTATCATTTTTTATAGGATCATTTTGGTGCTTAAGTTAATGGATCTTTAAGTTTAGATAAAAAGCCTCCAAATGGAAGGGGGAGAGAGAGAGAGAGAGAGAGAAATAGAGAGATATGGGAGAAAAACTTATGTGATTGTAGAGGGTTTAGTTTGTATTTTGATGGGAGATGATATGATAAATTCAATCATTATATAAATATAAATGAATTATGTCGTGAGGTAAAGAATAATGATTGAATTTCTGGAAAAAAATCTTTAGTTTTCAGAAATTCTTCATACAACACCTTAATTTTTTTTAAATTTTTTGTAAGAAAACATTCATAAATAACAATTTGACCCTTTGTCACTTCTGCTAGCACCGGCTACCTCCAAGCATTGACCACGCTTGTGCCTCCGACGTTGGTCGGAACTTGATCGCCCACCCATTTACGCTTACATGAGCCTCTAGTTACCTCGATGCATTAGCTACATAAGCCTGGCAACACCTACAAGAAAGGAGGAACGAGAGAGTTGTTGACGAGGAAGGAGAGGTTGCAAGCGATGATGGTAAGAGCCCCTAGCCACCTCCATCCTTGGTCACCTCTGCATGCTAGCCATAACTACGAGGAAGGAGGAAGGAGGGGGCTACGCAATTAAACTTATCAACCGATTCTCTCTTCGTATGCAAAAGGAAGAAAGTGTTGATCATCTCTATTTTACTTGTGGCTATGCTAATTGGATATAAAAGAAGATTTTAAAGAGATTTGAATTTAATAGGCTCATGCAAAGCTTTTTAAGAAAATGGCTTCTTACACAACTAGCAAAGGTTACTTTCAGATGTGTTATTTAGTAGATTTAGAAAGAGAGGCGTGGCAAAATATTTGAATGTCACAATATAAATAATGCTCAACTTTTGATAGAGATTTTTAGAGACTCAAGATCATATATAGAGTAAGATCTGAAAATGGAGCACTTAACAAGAAGAGAAAAATGGAGCAGTTAATAATCTTAGGAATGATGATAAAGAAGGGAATGCATTCCATGGTTACATGCTTCAATAATGTGATGTATTCACAAGTAGTCCAAGCATATCCGGATATTGTATTTTATTATTCATTGATTACAGTAAAGAATCATAGTCTATCGTATGTGTAGTCATGACTATATTTTTGTTTGACTACTGTTTGAGATAAGTCTGGTGGAATGAGACAATTTTACCTTTCCGATGTGGGATGCACTCTCCTAAACTACTCTAAGAGATTTCAGGATTTAGTCTATAGTCTGTGTAGATAAACCTATTTTGTATAAACTTTATACATAATATAATTACTTTTACTTTCCAAAAAAAAAAAGGAAAGGACCGCGGACGAGGGCCCCTAGTTGCCTCCATCGCTAGTCATGCCAGCCCGACCATGCTTCTGAGGAAAGAGGAAAGAGGAAGGATAGGGTCATGGGCGAGGATGATAAAGATGAGGACAAAGCAAGGCCATAAGTGATAGAGGAGAGTGGGATGAGGGTGGTGAGTGGAGGGTGAGCGGTTCATGCACCAAGGCAACCAGGGGCATCGCGAGCCATGATTCAAAACGTAGAGGTACAATCGGCATCATAAAACATGCGAGTCAATCCCCGCATAAAGGCGTAGGTGGCCAGAGGTTCATATTTGCTCATAGCTCTCCACCTCGTTATTGTTCTTGATCGACGGGAGGGGAGATAGAAGAACGGTGTAAGGTAGAGGTGATCAAGGATCTTTAAAAATTTTAAATATGTTATAAATTTCTTAGAAGTTTTATTTTTTATTTTTTACACCGTCTCCGAATAAAACTAGAGTAAAGCAAATGAGCACAGCAATTGCGGCAGCTTGACAGCACCACGTGGGTGAAGGAAGAGGCAAAGAGTAGCGGGGAAAACAAGGCATGCAGGAGGCGTCACCTCAACCGGTCCATTCTCGGCACTCGCCCCTTGACGGAACTCTGACGCTTCTTTAAAGCGCCAACCCCGAAGAAAAAGCGTGCTCTGCGTTGCATGCTATCTGCTGACACCTCTCACAGTACGCCTTCATTCCGCCAGCGAAAAATGAGGGGGAGACAAGGCAGAGGAGGAGTTGCTGGTGCCACGATCGAGAGAGCGAGACAGAGAGAGAGAGAGATTATAGCGTCTGAAAAGAGCTTCCATAAATCTGCTACGAAGAAACAAGAAGAGGAGCTTTATGTTTGCTACCCTCTTTGTTTCACAGGGCTTTCTCCCACATGAGCTGATGAGTAGATTGCATCTCTGAGACTAGTTCGTGAACGAGAACAAGGACAAGATATGCTGCTGCTGCTCTCCCAGTCCATCATCACTGCCTTGATTACTACCGAAGGCATCAGTTGGATCCAAACTCATCCAGCATCAAAATCAGCACTCCTTTAAACAAGCAGTTCATAATCTGGCACGGTAATCTCTGTCGGATGATGATGTAGAACTGTTTGAGTCAAACACACACACACAGAGAGAGAGAGAGAGGATTAATATGCTGTCAGAAGGGCATGCTTAGGAAATCAGAAAAAAAAAGCAGGAACAGTTGTTTGAAAGCATATGAAGTATCAAAAGGCACGGCAGTAGTAATCTGACACATGCATGCAACTCAGAGTGGGCTGTGCATGGCAGCAGAAGCACACCAAGAAGAGCCAAAACCAATTTTGCCACATAGCTTCTGCATTTGCTGCCACTTCTTGTTACCACTCTCTCGCTTTCCATCCCTGCATGCTTCCTTCCCTGGATCAAATAAATACTCAGCAAAGTTACATGTTTAGTTACCAGTTGTTTTCTCTTGTATTTTGTCAGAGATACAGCTCAAAATTGTAGCATTAGATCCATCATAAATCTTGTTCTTTTGGGGTGAAACTAGAGGTAGTAATTAGATCATCTATAAAAGATGATTTATTTTTTTTTCCTTTTTTTCTAATTTCAGAGATAAAAGGCAGGCAAGTTTTAATCTCAGCTGCAACACTGAACCGAGAGAGAGAGAGAGAGAGAGAGAGAGAGAGAGAGAGAGAGAGAGAGAGAGAGAGAGGTAATAGAAAATGTTGATGGTAAGGGGAGACATGAGGCACACATCAAGAATCACATCTGACAAAATAATTGATGCTGCTTATGTTGAAAATATGATGTACATAATCAGCATTTTTCATATCAAAGCATTCAACACAATATTCCATGCATTTTCCCCCTTCATTGATAATAAAGTTAGATATTTCCACTCTTTTGATGCAAACAAAAAGTGATTCGTAGCTTCAATGGTGTGGCTCAAATTCCTTTTCTATATGGAGTTCATCTCTTTGGTATTTAAAATAACATTGTCATTCTATGTATCATGTGTGTATATAAATGATGGCTAAAGATTTTTTGTGAGAGACATCTTTTAGAGTCACCCTTTAGAAGAGAGGATATTTTCTTAAAAATAATTGTGGAATTGAAACAAAGTTAATTCATGTTTTGCATACTTAGTTTGATAATGAAAACCTCATGTTCAGTCTCTACCATGGAATAGTACTAAAGTTGAACCGCATAAAATCTGTGTTGATTATAGACTACCAAGTTTGCTTAGATCTTATTTTTAATTGTATTTATTATAAATTGAGAACAAATTTTGTTCTCTGAATGTTTGAACCTTCTTGAGGAATATCTCATACTTTTGAGAGAGGAGGGTTTAAATAAATACTTTCATGTGAACATTCTATTGGTTTTTAGCAGACTTTAATCTGATAAATCAAATCCGAGGATCGCATTTAGCAAATAGTGTGTGATTGGGTTGCTAATTATGCATTGTTGGTTCTATAATTAAGACTCACAGTGCACACAAAAAAGATTAAAGAACTCAAAAGAAAGAAAATGTGAGAGGCTACTATTAACATAAATTAATGTGCTTGAAACACAAGTCCAAAAAAATAAAAGACATGAATGTGGAGCAAAGAGCTAATTATATGTCATGTACTTGTAGTGAATGTACTGAAAGGCTACGACTCGTTTGGATTTTGGAGGAAACTGCATCTTGTGGTCAATAGTTCTACTTTTGAAGCGCCTAAGTAAGCTATATTGCTTTGTTGGAGCTGTCTCTCTCTCTATAGGACAGACTTGTCAAGTTCAGACATCAAATACTTTTCTAAACATTTTCCCATTAAAGATTCATCGTAAAGTTCAGCCTTGTATGACAACATATTTCTACTCCAATCATACAAGACCAGAAGAAAATTATGCGAGATTTGCTTGTATTTCTAGTCAGTGAAACACCAGATCCATATACATGTGCATATCATCTAAGAACACAATCTTAGGTACGCTTACAGAGAGATGAATGCATAATCTCACTTTATTCTCTGTTGCCTGAGCTCTCTCCTTGACCTTTTGCTCTTGGCAATTTCTTGCGTGACCTCTGTGGGGGGCAGGCACTGTTTCTTTTTGTAGTCGAATAAAGTGATCTTGCAAAGGAAAGCTCATGTCAATATGGTCTGCCAAGGGTGATCTCAAGATTCGGCTTATTCGGGCTTGATGAGTTCGATATGGAGAACATTTCAGAGCTTTTTGGCTGCATATCCTGCCGCGACAACATAGAAGAATCATCACATCATTATTGTTAGTTCATTCTTTAAGTGCCTCAGTGTTTTGATTACTTTGCAGTAATATCACACAGTGTGTATTGCAGTTCAAAATAGCATGGAATCACATCATCATCATTTCATTCTTTGAATCAGCTCATGTGAGTTAAGGAAGGAATAGTTCATGTACCACATTCGATTGCATTCTCCCTGAAGTTGAATCACTTGCTATGCCATGGTAACAGCCTTTTCTGTTGCGAAACCATCACAAAGACTATCCGTCAGCCGAAAAATCATTTTGCAAACAACTTCATTTTGTGAATCATTAGTGCCGAGAAGAAGCTGCAAAGAAGTTTCAGAAAATGTGCTTCGAGAACCTTTAAGAACAAAATTTTCAGGAGAGCTCGTCTCCGGCAATTGGGAAGAGAAATAAGCTTCCCTACTGTCCTTTCCAAGGATCACAGAGTCACTATGGATGTGTAAATGTGGACAGTTGGAACAAAGGTATGACACAGTGGAAAGACAAAAGGAATGGAGAGCCATTATATTAGACCTGTTCTTGTGTTCTCTTTGACTTGTATTACAAGGCAAACAGATTCGACCGGCGGCACTGTCACAAGCTCTTCTCTCTTCCAAAAAAGGGGAAAGTAAACCATTGATTCATCCAGCGATCGGAAAAGAAAAGGTGAAGACAGATGTTATTCTTAGTGATTTGATTACTTACAAGAAGAAGGCACAAACCTTTTCCCATGCAATGTATTCACATTGCGTCATGTGATTGGTGAAGCTTTCTCGAGTTGTAGGTTCATCATTTATTTATGCTGATGATGAAGGCCAAAAGTTTGAGATAGCAACTGTTCAGGTGTCTATGCTGGAGCACTTTCTCGATATTAGAATATCGATTCTACTTTTTCAGCAGGCAAGAAATTTTATGTTGATTGAATAGAGCTTTGAGATACCATTATTGCATTTAATATGCTTTTCTTACTTCAAATGCTCAGATCTTTTAATTAATTATAGGAAGTGAAGATTGATGAATTAGCACAAAAGGTTTTCTCTGACAGTGCACAACCTAAAACCAACCAGCAATAATGTGAAAATACAACGATCAAACAAAGAAAACAATTACTACCTTGAGGTATTGCTCCACACACCAGCATGATCGACACGACAATGTGCAGCGCCTGAGGATTCCGATCTATGGAGACTCTGAATACCTGTCAAAGTTTCCTCAGAATGATCTCCCGACGAACCATTCTCGAACCCATCACACTGGCCTGCCATAGGTAGTCAAAATCCATAAGATCCTTTATTTAGTAGAGAAAGACAACCAAGTTTTGAGCTAGAAATACAAGAAACGATGTCTTCTCCACCTGAAGGAACTGCTGGTTTATCCGTGTTCTTGACAGTTCGATACATCTGCAACCACATATCAGCGACAAACTTGGATAATCATTTTTGAGAAGAACATAAATCTAGTTTTCAAGATGAAGTTAATTTGGAGTGCCACTTATTATTATTATTAGATAGAGGCTAAAGAGGTTCAGAATTGTGCACATGGATGCAATTTATCCACCTTTTTACTTACAGTAGCATCTTTTTAGGTTCATGTGTAAAAGCTGCTGCAATACTTTGCAGGTGGAGATCTCTTTTCCCATCTAAAACAGGCAGGAAGAAAACAATAGAGGGATGGATAATAAGGTCCTCATGGATTCGAGTTCGTTCTTGATCTATCTACAACTGTTTTCATTAGTGGTTGCAGATGGGGAAATAACTAAGTCAACTTGGTAAGGAAATTGCAACAAGAGAAACAAAACCTAAGCAAGCGAAGATTAAAAAGGAAACGGAAACTAAAAGCTGGGAACAAGAAATACGAGAGGTTTCCTCCTCCGACCTGCAAGTGAGATTTCACATGGGCCAAGGTGAGATCTTTGACATCCATGAGCTCTAGAACTGACTTGGGTGTAGCCCCTGAATCCAAAAGAATCGAAGCAGGAGCGGTCAGATAAATCTCGATGGCTGAAATGAAGAGAGATTTCCATGAGAAGATGGGGAGGGAAACTGATCATACTCTCATGGCCTCCTAACAGCTCCACGGCACGGACGAATCGGTCATGGAGTGTGGTAGTCCACCGCATCCTCGGCGCCCTCGTGATCCGCTTGGCCGGGAACCTCGACCTCGACAAGCCTTGGCTTGCAGCGAAGGTCGTGAAGCTGTGGGTGGAAGAAGAACAGCCGCACAGGTGGTGGTGCTGCCGCTGTGGGGCGACCAAAGCGAGGGAAGGCGCGTGTCGGTAGACCGGGATGCCCGGTATGGGCTCCATCGAGCTCTGGTCTTGGTGGTGGTGGAAGGAGAACCCGGAGGCGGCGGGGTCGGCGTCGGCCTCGGCGTCGGCGTCGGCAGTGGTGATCATGCTGTAGCTGGTTGTGGAAGTGGAGTCAAGAGCCCTTCTCCAAAACCCTAATTCCATGTTCTCATCATGCTTTCTCCTGCCCGATGGTGTGGCACTGGGGGGACTGATCTGAAGTGACAGATCTGGTTGTGCAGCAAACAGCTCCATTTGGCCACGCAAACCTTTCTTCTTCCTCTTCTTTTCTCACTCCCTTCCTGTCTTCCTCTCTCTCTCTCTCTCTCTCTCTCTCTCTCTCCTGTTTGAGATCGCCTCCTCTTCTTCCTGTGGTTAATAGAGTGTGATGCGGATGGATGTACCTTGGTTGAATGTGTGGAATCATGGCCTTGTGGTCAGGTAATTTATCTGGTAGTGGCCATGGCTTGCAAGTGGCCATACTGTTGTCTCTACCAAAAAGTATGTAATGTCAAGAGTGAATATTGTGTGGAGCAACAAAGATTGATCTCCGGGTGGGTTTGTTTCTGAATGCTGTGAAGCAAAATGACACTCGAGGAGGCCGCTTGAATGTGGTGTGCGTGAGAGAGAGAGAGAGAGAGAGAGAGAAAAGGAATAATATGTACAGGTTTGCTATTGGATCTGAGAGAGATGGGTGGAATGGATGGTCCCTGTACTACTTTTTGAGCTGATCCTTCCACTGCATTGTGGATTTGACCCTCTCAAATCAAGATTGGCAGTACATTGTGAGCATTGGTGGACACCACAAAGTAGGATGCCATGGTTCTTATGTCCAATTAATGCAGCTTCATGTCAGGACTAATTACGCAACTTTGGTCCTGACTCACAGGTCAAGCAGCTAATGGCCAAGTAAATTACACTACTAATAGACTCCTCGATGTTTCATGTAAAGAAATAAATTAACCTTCGATTGAAAATCTATATAGGATATCAATTCAACATAATAATCGGTGGTATATCAGTTATCCAATCAAATTCTATCATTCATAATTGTAGTTAATTTCATTATTTATTTTCATCCATAGGTCCTCGTGGAAAGCAAGTGTTAATTAAAACGCAGAGAATCTAATGATTCAAACTAAAATTGGCACCTAATAAAAATTTAAACTGCGATTTTATAGTGTTCTATTTAATTGAGATGCTGCTTGCTATTTGGTGGCACCAAAAAATATTTATCACAAACGAATGATTCAACTAAATGGGAAGATCACTAGATTATTCCCATATCCACGATTTATGCCCCTACTCCTGTTTCAGAAATCTAATTCATCATGATAATTTCCAACAGTAATGAAAGATTAATGATGAGACTTTCTTCTGTCTATTTGAATTGACGAAATTGTTACAGATTACAAGTGTCATGAAAAGTTGAGCATAATCCATAATCTTTATGTAAAGTTGACATCATAATCTGCTGAAACCTTGGTGATCTCTTCAGAAATGATTTCTCTCTCATAAAATATATTGTAGGGCTTTCTCATTTTACTGGTTGACTATCGAAGGAGACCAACTAAATGTATGTTTAGAATGGTAGTCAACAACTCCAATTATTAATTATCCAGTCTTTGTTAGTACTAAAGCATCATCTACAAACAAATGCTCACAGGCTACTATATCACTTGGTCAAAACTTACACATAGCAGCAGCATAGACAAGCTGAGTTATGGTGTTCTTTTGTTAGCTAAGAACATATCATGGTCTCAGTTGGAGTAATATTAGCTGTCCATCATTCTTGATTTTGATGATATATATACATAGGGAGAGAGAGAGAGAGAGAGAGAAACCCAATATTTTTTGTGATAATACCTGATCGATGAGTTATATTAAATGATATAATTATATGTGGACTCAAACTCAAAGACCTATCACTTTATAAACACAAAAACCCTCCATATTTCATCATCAATCAATCAATTAATGATAAGAAGAATACATCCATTATTTTCTAAAGTCATATCGTGCAAGCAACCTACCACAAGTTGCATGGTGGGGCTCACATCCGGTAGTAATTTTTTATTTGAATACTTGCCTTACCGCTTATCTCCGATCAAAGATTTAATCTATGAATTTAATACCTAAAATATAAATTTGAAAAACCTACCCCCAAAAAACAAAAAAAGTAGATACACCGAATTTTAAGCTAAGCTAGCTATAATTGGACTTTTGGATTGGTATTTAATTACAGTAATAATCCTCCAATATTTACTTGTTTCTAATAATTAAAACATTCTTGCTATAAAGAAGGATATAGTGGGACTAATTATAGATTATCCTATAGTTAACTATTCTTAGTATTTTGATCTTTATACTTTAAAGAGTTATATTGGTATTTTTATAATTATAAAAATGAAACATTTAATCTTATTTCTCCTCGCGTCGTTGACTCTACCGACCGAAGATGCAGCATATATTATCATATATAGATACTAGAAATATGGATAAAAATATAATTTTATTATCTTTATCATCAAAAAAATATTAATTTCACATAAAGATAACTTATGTAAAAACTTTGATATTCTCCCTCCGACTTTACTATCCTCTCGAATAGCCTACCTACTGGCGGTGTCGGTGGTGATCCTTATCTCTTACACCATTTTATTTCTTCAACTTTGCTATCCTTCGATTTGACTTTGCTATCCTCCTGGATAACCTACTTAACGGTAGCATTGATGACAATTCTCATCTTCTACACCATCCTATTTCTCTTGTTTTGTTATCATATCCAATGCCTTCGACTTCACGTAAGGTTGGTAGCTCTTTGCTGTTCCTTTGCAAGTCAGAGGAGAGCATAACAAAGTTTTCACGGAAGTTATTCTTTTATGAAATTAATATTTTTTAACAACAAGCAAAATTATCCTTTCATTCTTATTTTTAGTGTCATTTTTATACATAATAGCATATGTATAAAAATTAGAATATCCATACAAAATTATGGATATTTTCTATTATCAGTAGTGTGAAAATTAGGGCTAAACATTTCACTTTTGTAACTATAGAGAATATATATATATATATATATATATATATATATATATATATATATATATATATTGAAATATAAAAATAACTAACTACAAGATTACTTAATTATAATTATTAAAATTAGGTTAAGTGTAAGGATATGTAATTACCGCTGAAAGAATGATAGAGAACTATCATTATAAAATTGTCAAATTACTGAAACAATAAAATAAATATAAATTTCAAAAGTTTATTTGATGAACGGTGGAGAAACTTATTGACTAATATTTATTAACCCGGTCCATCCCCATCAACAATTTATAGTTGATTATTTATCAAATCAATCATATTGCAGGCCTAATTAAATAAAAAAAATTATTTAATTTAGAATATATATATATATATATATATATATATATATATATATATGAGATAATTTTTTTAGAAAATACTCATATTTTAGGAATTTCTCAATCAGTAGCTTTTTAATTTTTTTAAGCAATACCCCTAATTTAAAAATATATAAAAATATTTTTTTTTCAAATATTTTTCATTTATTATTTTTATCATCTTTAGATTATTATAATGTTTTTATTTAGCTCATTTACGATATTTTTAATATTATTTATAGTATTTTTATTAAGATTTTATAATATTTATATTTGACTTATTTATAATATTTTTAAATATTTATCGTGTTTTTGTTATGATGACTAAAAATTATAACGAATTAAATTTTTTTTAGGAACAGTTTAGATATTTTTAAATTAGGACTACTATTTGAAAAAAAACTAAAAATGAAAAAATCCAAAATATATTTTTTTAAAAAAAAATTACGTATATATATATATATATTAATGGGATATTGTAAGGCTTATTACGTATCTGACATATTTACGTGCGGGCCATCGGACGCCATGTGATGTGACGAAACGGTTAAATAGACGGTGGATATGGCGTACGCATAGATATCTTTATAAATAAAACCATTACGTCGTTGATCGCAAAGAAGCTTCGCTCCTCAGTGTGTTTTCTAGGGTTTTGACAGCGAGACGACGCCGTTGATCTCGTCTCCGGCTTCAGCGGCTGCTAGCGTCCATGGCGGTGAGTGTGTTCAGTTCACGATCCATTCTTGGGCGCCCTATTCCTTCTCGTTTTGGTGCAGAAATTTCTCAGGTTTCTTGGGTTCTTGGTCTGGCTTGTTGCTTTGCGTTTGGATGAGGCATACTTGATAGGAATTTTGGGGAAATTAATGGGGAAGCTACTGCATCATGTTTTGTGCAGTGATTTGTCTGTAAATTTACATGTAGGATGAAGTAATTCCGCAATTTCGAGGTTAATTCTCCAGCAAGATACTTTCCTTCTTGATAATCTCACATACGTTTGCATTCTCAATCAAATCCAATCGTTGTGCTGTTGAAGAACGGCGAAATTGAGCGTCTTGTGGATATTGAAGACCATCTTTACGTTGTTCTCCATGCCCGTAACTCTCTTGGAGTTTCTTAGGTTCTTTCCTTGACCCACCCTCTTTTGCCTTATTTCTATTGTGGAGCTAGCAACTTGGTGGTATGACTGATTCGACCCCCGGGGTCGTCCTGATTCAGGTTTAATTATGATTTCTGACTCTTGTAGCACTAGTGTGTGTTTTCAGTCGATGAGTGCAATCTAATCTTGGCTTAAGTGCATCAGTTCTCAAGCATTCAGATTTCTAGATTCTGTGACTACTATAATGAAAGAAGGGGAGTCTCCTTTATATCTGTTCCCTCTTCTTGGTTCACGTGAATATCAAATAACATATAAAAATTTACACAAAAAGGAAGATGAAACCTCAATAAACTTCATTGATCTTGCGAGGAACTCAGTGAGCTTCTTTGACGATCCTAGACCCCACATTACCAGAAGCCTCGTACACTGGCTTTCTTTTTTAGTTTAGATCTTTACCCTCAACGACACCTTATTATGATGTTTCTTGCAGCACTGAAGCTAAATATTAAACCCTTTGGAACATGATGTCTGATTTTTGAAGGGCCCTCTTTCATTATATATATGTATAGATATTTCTGGATATCTTTAAAATTTGGGCTTTTTGTTTCTTAAGCAGATGTAGTAGTTGGATATTAGAGGAAGAACCTGATCAGTGTCTCTAGTAGCTTTTTTTTTTTTCTGTTTACTAGTGGAATTGAAGTGTCTATACAAAAGATATGTATGAAAACATATTAATCATAAAGTTCATTGATTTGATTATTGGTGTTATATTCGCTTGACAACAAAGCAGCAATTCAATTAATAATCTCAATTTCATTGCTAAATTTCCAGAGAAGAATATAAAAAAAAATCTGAGGCTTTTTGTGCACTATTTAGATTTTTTGTTAATTTCATCCATTCATGTGCAAGAGATTTCCATCTGGGTTAGATTTAGGATGCTTACATGTTTAAGCATTAAAGTGACAGAGCTTTCTGTATTTTTTGGATGAGTCCAGTATACTTTTAGAGCTCAAGGTTTTTCTTAAATTTCAAACTCAAAAATACTTATGGCGGTGCCTGAGTATTAATACTATGGCCTGGTTTGGTTTTTTTTTTATCTTTATGCTTTTATGAATGAAAAAAACATATTTTAAAACAGGTTCCTTGGTTACAACTTAGCTACTGATCTCAGGTTGAAGTAGAGGGACTTATCAGTATGAGGATTTGGAATCTCAAAGATCATGAATCTTATGCATGGATCTGAAATCTTCCAGTGTTTGTTGTTGCTATATTTAGGACAGAAATCTTTCTTCCAAAAGTCAAAAATAGGAATATTCCAGGAAAAAAATGGAGGAATGGAAGCAATGTTATCAAACATGTTTTATGGCTCTGAATGTTTTCAAGAAAACCATGAGAAAGAAAATAGCAACTGACAAAAGGCAACCATAAGTTATTTGCAGCGCAGGTTTTACTATCTATTTGAGGTTCATACATGAATACTGAAACTGTATCGATTGGATGCAAATAGTCACTGCTAACTAGAACAGACACCTGTTACTACTTCCATACTTTTAATGAACCTAGTATTGCTTTGTCAAATATCCTCACTTGTCATTTGTACAATTTTTTGATGACAGTGTTGACTTGGTATTGCAGGTGAAGACGGTGAAGGTTAGCAATGTCTCCCTAAGTGCCACAATGCAGGATATTAAAGAGTTCTTTTCCTTTTCTGGGGATATTGAATATGTTGAGATGCAAAGGTTTGTGTCGGCAATGCTATTAGTGCCCTCTGTTAATACATGTTGGCAGTGTTTGTCTTATGGCTTTCCAGGATCTTTGATGTGTTATGTCTACCATTTTTGTTTTACAGTGCGGATGAGTGGTCTCAAATTGCCTATGTCACGTTCAAAGATTCACAGGGAGCAGAAACGGCACTTCTTCTTTCGGTGGTTTAACTTCTTAAGCCCTTTCATTATGATATTTCCAGTTCTTTCATTTATGTCCATAAAGAACTGTAACAAGAATTCAAGAGGAAGATTGAAGTTTTTAGTGGTTCTTTGACTTCTTTTCGTGTGATGGCCACCTTTTGTATTTCTCGTAATGTTTAGTGTGTACAGGATCCCTTAGGTGCATTTATTTTACCGACTACCCTTTTGTTAATTTCATATGCCAACACATGTTTTGCTATCAGAAGCTAAATTTCTTTAAGAATGGACTCCATTAGACGTGGGAGATTTTGGAAGGTATATTCGGATGTTTAGTAGTTAATGTGTGGGAATGAGTGGTCACTTTTCAGTTTTTTCAAAGAGTTGCAACGAACCAGCCATCTGTTACTTTACTATATTTCAAGGAAGAAGGATATCATTTTAATGACATTCCCTGATGCCATTGGAATAAATATTGGCAATGTTTAGTTTCCAGGTCTCTGATATTTTCTTATTCGTTTATACAGGGTGCAACAATAGTTGACCTATCTGTGATTATTGTACCAGCTCCAGAATACCAAGTGCCTCCAGCTGCTTCATCTCCTCCTGTGGTAGATTTCATGGCATGTTTCTTCTCTTGGGTCTGTTGTTCCCAGATTAAAATATTGCATTGTGATCGATTAAATTTTGCTGCTCCTTTTCAGCAAAAAGATGATAATGCGAGCAGCAGTGCTGGATCTGCTGTTCAGAAGGCTGAAGATGTGGTTAGCAGCATGCTTGCCAAGGGTTTTATCTTGGGCAAAGATGCTGTCAATAAAGCCAAAACTTTTGATGAGAAGCATCAGCTGACTTCCACTGCAAGTGCCAGAGTTGCTTCTTTCGACAAGAAGATAGGGCTGAGTGAGAAAATCAGCACAGGCACTTCAGCTGTTGGGGAAAAATTCAAGGAAATGGATCAGAAATTTCAGGTTTCTGAGAAGACTAAATCAGCCTTCGCTGCTGCTGAACAAAAAGTTAGCAGTGCAGGGTCTGCGATCATGAAGAACAGATATGTCTTCACCGGAGCATCATGGGTGACAGGTGCCTTCAATAAAGTTGCCAAGGCTGCTAGCGAAGTGGGATCAAAAACAAAAGAAAAAGTTGTTGCCGAGCAAGAACACAAGACAAGGTCCGAGGATGACTTCGCCGAGGTTCATCTATCTGAGACTCCAAAAGCCGCATCTGCCGAGCATTCGTCCAAGCCTACGTCGGCCCAAGGATTGATTCTTTGATGTTCTCTTTCTACAAAACAACGCTCTGGGATACTTGTGTTACATGTTGTGACGATAAACATGAGAACAGATGCTCCTCTGTCTACACTTGTCTATTAGAACAATTTCACCATGGTGAGCCTTGAGGTATCATGAAATGGTGGCCTTGTTGCTGGTTCATGTATGAGGATGGAAGCTCCAGCATCTATTATTCTTCAATAGTCATTAAGTTAATTTCCTATCCTCCTTTCTGTTAGAATTCTGCCAATATCTTCTACCAACCTTGAGAAAAATGCAATGGTGATCTACATTTTGCATGTCTTCCAAATGTGGAAATACACAGATAGGAGTGAGCATATCCTCAGCATGACCAGACAAGATGCTCAAAATCGAATTCAGACAGAATATTAATTTGATACACGCAAAGAAACCAACATTACTTACATGATTCATTCATTGACTAATTCTATGACATCAAATTTTATCTTCACATTCCATTGACAGGATCTGAATTGACCTTCAAATTAAAAAGGGGTATATAACTATGATTCCAGACTTTAATCTCCTAATTTATGTCAATACAACCTTATCTTAGCACCAAGAGCTCACTTGTAATTTGGTTTCCAAATTGGTTGTCATTAAAATATAATATTTAAACAGGTTTTAGAATTAAAATCCAATATTCTACACTTGTAAGATTGCTCATGGAGCATATATATACATGATACTGCTTTGTTATCGACTTAAGGAAGAATGAAATTTCATCAACCACCTCTGAAAGTGCACATCCGACATAAGATACTCATTTTTTGTAGGAAAGCTCTTAGTGTTCCACCAGCCACACACAGGAGGTGAAGGGGGACTGGTTTGTGGTATCTATTATTTCATCTTGTCAGCACATCATTTGATTTTCGATTGATAGGGAAAGAAACATATATTAGGTAAGAAGATTGCACTAGTAAGTTTTGGTTTTTTAATCTAAAAAAAAAAGGATTTGTATGGTATTTTGATTCGATAAAATAATTAATTTATTAATTTGATAGACCTAGATTATAATATTTTTTAAAATATTTAAGCTCGTGTTCTTCTTCTTCTTCATCATCATCATCATCATATATATATATATATATATATATATATATATATATTCAATTGATCTTCTTCATCAAGTGTTTTGATTATACGGAGGATGTCAAACCTTTCTCACTTAAAATTTGATATCCTTTAGTACGACTTAAACGTAATACATAATCATAAGACTCGGTTCAATTAATATTAGTTTTATATTGATAATATTGAGGTACCTCTGATCACTTGTATAAATAACATCGTTTTCATTTATCATAATCTAAGTCGATGAAATAGTCAGTCGTTCAAAATACTTAAACACGAATAATCCGCCTCACCTCAAATGAATTATCACACTCGACTTGAGGTGTCATAATTATAATCATATGAATTAACCAAGATTAGCACAAGGCCAAAATAAAACTCAGGAAACATCAAAGGCTGGCATGCTCAGGTTCTGTTTGTGTGACAGATACATGCCTTTTTTTTATCTCACTGAAAATGTGTCTTAGCTTAGGTAATGAGACAATAAAAATCACACAGCCACAGTGACACAGATTGCCATACTCAGATTAAATTAAGTGCTAATGTTAACTATCACATTACTCAATCAAGTAGGCTACCATATCTAATGCCAAAGAAACAATCAAGATGTGAAGAAGCTAAGAGTCACATGAAAGTCATATGCTGCATGGATGTATGATAGAACATGGAGTTCTATAATAAACTGCATGTTCTTATGATGGAGTTGGACGAGGACAACTCATGCATAATGTCTAAGGTGTACAGCAGCACATCGAGGTTTGTCATTCTACTGAATTCAACCTAAGTTTGGATCATGTTCTTAATAAGGGATTGTACAAAAGGGGAAAGAGTGTTCTAAGTTAATTCCACTGCATCTGCTTTGTGAGGATGGTGTGAAGTCAACGTCAAAGAAAGATGATTCCCATATGCTCGAGTCGTAGTAAGTATATATGGCTGAATCCAATGTACATTCCTGCACATGTCACTTCATCATTGGTTGGGGGATGGACTGTTCCATTGCCACCAACACTCAACTAACTCATGCCTGATTAAAGCATGCCGAGAATACTAACAACAGGATACACTGTATCCAGAGCTGCAGCTGATGACTCCATCCTACCTACCGCTTAAAGAAAAAGGTGTCATCGTCATGTGCTTGTTATCTTCTCTATATGCACCGAAAAATCTAATTGTTTGTTTTGAGTTTAATTTTTATTAAGTCCATACTAAGTTAAAATAATTTGGATTTATAGTTTGAGCTTTTCTTGTTTAGTAGTTTCAGATGTTTTATAGCCTAAGAACATTTTCCTAAGGTATTTATAATTATCCTTTTTATAGTAGAGTTTTACTCTTCCTCTGTCCGTAGACGTAGGTCAATTGATCGAACCACGTAAATCTGGTGTCCTTGTCTTTTTTATTTTTCTGCTTTATTGTCTTTATTGGGTTGCCAAATTATCCTTTAGTAAATTTTCTGGGGTTAAAATGAAGGTCATTCTGGTTCAAGACGGGGTTGATTTGGCACTACAGGGAGCCGAGAACATTCCAAATGATATGTCAAAGAAGACCTTGCGGGTATGAATAAGAAGGCCCGATCAAGCATTATTCTAAATCTCTCTGACGAGGTTTTACGGGAGATAGCTACGGAGACTACGGCTAAAAGCATGCGGGACAAGCTTAAAGCCTTGTATATGAAGAGGAGTGGAGAATCGTCTCTACTTGAAGTAGAGTTTGTATATGTTTCGGATGACTGAATGTACATCTATACTCTCACATCTTGATAAATTTGATTCCTTAGTTATGGATTTGGAGAATATAGATGCGAAAATTGATAATGAGGATAAGGCCCTGTTACTTTTGTGTTCTCTTCCCCAATCCTTTAAGTATTTCCGTGATACTATGATTTATGGAAAAGAAATAATTTCGTATCAGGAAATTAAATTCGTACTAAAATCTAAGAGGCAAATAGACAGGGATATCACTGGGGAAAGTAGAGAGAATCAGGCTGAGGGTCTGGTTGTCAAGGGTAGAACGGATAAAAGGAAATTTGACAGTAGTAGATTTAAATCCAAACATAGAAATTTAGAGTGCAGATATTATCATAAAATGGGACACATTAAGGCTGATTGCTTTAAATTGAAAAATAAATTAAACCAAAAGGAAAAAATTATTGAGAAAACTACTGAGTCCGCTGAAGCTAGTGTAGAAGCTGATGAGAATGTTAGAAATATTTTCTTTGCTACTTATGATAGGACGAGGTCTAAAAATGAATGAATTTTAGATTCGGGTTATTCTTATCACATGTGTCCCAATAGAGATTTATTTTCCACGTATGAATCTTGTAATTGTGGAATTGTTTTGATGGACAATAATGCCGCTTGTGATGTTGTTGGTACAATCCGAATTAAAATGCATGATGGTATTGTGAGGATGTTCACTAATGTTAGACATGTTCCTAATTTAAAAAAGAATCTCATCTCTTTAAACACCATAGAGGCTCTTGGGTATAAATACGTAGTTGAAGGTGGAGTTATAAAAGTTTCTAAAAGTGCCCTTGTTGTTATGAAAGCTTGTAGATATGGTAGCTTGTATATTTTGCATGGAACTACTTTCACAGGCTCGGTTGTAGTCCCGTTATCTTCATTATCTAATTCTGATATCACCAAATTATAGCATATGCGTTTGAGTCATATGAGCGAAAATGGTTTGAGTATATTGAGCAAAAGGGGTCTTCTTTGTGGACAAAGTACTGGGCCACTGGATTTCTGTGAACACTATATTTTTGGAAAGCAGAAAAGAGTCAGCTTCAATCGTCCAACAGTTCACAAAACGAAAGGTATTCTTGACTATATTCATTTAGACCTTTGGGGTCCAGCTCGTGTTCAGTCTAAGGGTGGTACCAGGTATATGTTGACTTTCATTGATGATTATTCCAGGAAAATTTGGGTTTATTTTCTAAAGCATAAAAATGATGTTTTTCTAACCTATAAACAATGGAAGGCTTTGATTAAGAAGCAAACAAGTAAACAGATTAAGCGGCTTTGAACAGATAATGACATAAAATTTTGTGAATGTGACTTTGATGAATTTTGCAAAAATGAAAGAATTGTTCGGCATCGCACTGTTAGGATGATGCCTCAGCAAAATGGTGTGGCCGAACGTATGAATAGAACACTCTTGGAGACAACAAGGTGTATGATCTTAAATGCAGGGTTGACCAAGAACTTTTGGGCATAGACGATTAATATAGCCTATTATGTTGTCAACCGTGCTCCTTCTGCAACATTAAATTTTAAAACTCCAGAGGAAGTTTTGTTAGGTACTCCTGCTGATTACTCCGATTTAAAATTTTTTGGGTGTTTAACATACATGCATGTAAATGAAGAAAAATTAGAGCCTTAAGCTAAAAAGTGCATTTTTCTTGGGTATGCTTCTGGGATGAAAGGATATAAATTATGGTGTTTTGATCCCAAATCTCCAAAATTTGTAATTAGTAGAGATGTTACTTTTGATTAATTGTCTATGTTATCTTTCAAAGAGGAATCTACTAGTTGTACAAATTATAGTGTGCGACAGCAGGTGGAGCTTGAGATTGGTAGTTCTGATTCTTTTCAATCAAACTCTTCTACTCAAAGAATGCTAGTAGATGGTCCTGAGTCTACTGACGAAGATGATCCAGAGGAAAAGCAATATTCTATAGCCAAGGATAGACCACGGAGAGATATTCGACCACCACAAAGATATACAAATTTGGTTGTATATGCTTTGTCTGTTGTAGAAGAAACAAGTAAAGTTGGTGAGCCTACTACCTACTCAGATGCAGTTTCTTGTGATAATTTCGCTAAGTGGTTGATTGTGATGAATGAAGAAATTGAATCTCTCCATCCGAATAGAACTTGAGATCTTATGAAGCCGCATTCGGGTAAGAAAATTGTTGGATGCAAATGAGTCTTCAAAAGGAAGGAAGGTATTCCAGGGGTTGAAGATGCAAGGTACAAACCACGATTGGTTGCAAAGGGCTATCGTCAGGTACATGGTGTTGATTTTAATGACGTATTTTCACCTGTTGTTAAACATAGCTCTATTTGTGTTTTGCTTGCTTTAGTTGTCATTTGGAATTCAAGCAACTTGATGTCAAGACATCTTTCTTACATGGTGAACTTAAAGAACAAATTTACATGAAGCAATCTCATAGATTTAAAGTTGACGGTAAGGAAGACCATGTTTGCTTGTTAAAGAAATCCTTGTACGGATTGAAGCAGTCTCCAAGATAGTGGTATAAGAGGTTTGATTCTTTTATGTTGGGTCATGGTTACACGAGGAGCATGTATGATAGTTGTGTCTACTTCCGGAAGTTAACTGATGGCTCTTTTGTGTATTTGTTGCTTTATGTTGATGACATGCTTATTGCAGCTAAGAATTTGTAAAAAATTCACACTTTGAAAATGCAACTGAGTAGTGAATTTGAAATGAAAGATTTGGGAGCAGCTAAGAAAATTCTTGGCATGGAGATCAAAAGAGAACAAGGAGTTGGAAAATGATTTCTGACCCAAAATAATTACCTCGAGAAAGTCTTGGAGAGGTTTGGCTTGAAAAACACTAAGCTAGTGAGTACTCCTCTTGCTAGCCATTTTCGGCTATCTGCTGCTCAGTCACCACAGTTAGTTGAAGAGGAAGAATATATGGTGTAAGTTCCATATTTCAGTGCCATCGGCAGTATTATGTATGCAATGGTGTGTACTCGTCTAGATATTTCACAAGCAGTCAGTGTGGTTAGCAGATATATGTCTCGCCCGGGTAAAAAACATTGGTAGGCTATGAAGTGGATTCTCATATACTTGCAAGGGACTTCAGATGCTTGTTTGGAGTTTGGGAAAAATCGTGACACTTTGGTTGGTTTCGTCGACTCTGATTATGCTACGGATCTTGATAAACGAAGATCTTTAACAAGCTATGTTTTTTGCATTGACGGTTGTATAGTTAGTTGGAAAGCTTCCTTACAACCTATCATGACTTTATCTGCTACAGAGACAAAATATATGACAGTGACAGAGGCGATCAAAGAAGTTTTATGGTTAAGAGGATTATTCGGCGAATTATGTCTACATCAAGTTGTTACTACAATTTTTACCATGATAGTCAAAGTGTTATTCATTTGACTAAAGACCAGATGTATTATGAGAGGATGAAACACATCGGTGTGAAGTTTCATTTTATTGGGGATACCACTGTTGAGGGAAAGGTCCTTGTTCAAAAAATTTATACGAAGGACAATTCAGCTAATATTCTTACGAAGCCTCTTTCGGTTTACAAGTTCAAGTAGTGCTTGGACTTGTTTGGCAAGTCCCATATAGTCCCATACTAGGAAAATCAAGCTTGTTATCTCTATTGCAACTATAAATAAGAGCTTGGGCCTTGAAGCCAAATGCACCACAAGAAAAACCTAATTGTTTGCTTTGAGTTTAATTTCTATTAAGTCCACATTTAGTTAAAATAGTTTGAGCTTTTTTTGTTTAGTAGTTTTAGGTGTTTTATGACCTACGAACATTTTCCTAAGTCATTTGTAATTATCTCTTTTATTTTTCTGCTTTATTATCTTTATTGGGTTGTCAAATTACCCTTTGATAAATTTTCTAAAGTCAGCTCTAACATATAGTCTTATATTTATCATAAATAGAGATAGCAATATATATATATATATATATATATATATATATATATATATATATATATATTGATAGATAAATAATGTACAGGATTCAAGAGTGGCATATAGAAGCTCTAATTTGCTCTAAGAGAGAGAGAGAGAGAGAGAGAGAGAGAGAGAGCGAGGTGGAAGACGACGTCCCCTACCTTTGCTTCCTCGCTTGGGGAAACGCTACTGCTTATTACCACTGTTCACTGATAACTATTTGACAGGTGCCATGCCGCACACCTAAACCTCTTCTGCCCTTTTGATGGCGTGTCGTGTCTGCTAAGGTGCAGAAAGAGACCCCCTTCCATTGTATCGCAGGCGTCTACGTAGCTTTTGGAGGCTGTCTGCATGCGTCTCCACAATATCTGTAGATTTTGGAGGCTAAACGCTACTATAAAACCCTCTGCCCGCCACCTCATGCCTCTTCTTTTTGTAGGTTGGAGGAAGGATCGATGGGGAGGTCACCATGCTGCGATGAGGTGGGGCTGAAGAGGGGTCCATGGACGCCGGAGGAGGACAAGAAGCTGAGGGACTACGTCCAGAAGAACGGCCACGGGAGCTGGCGGCGGCTCCCTATGCTCGCCGGCCTCAACCGCTGCGGTAAGAGCTGCAGGCTCCGGTGGATCAACTACCTGCGCCCCGACATCAAGAGAGGGAACTTCACGGAGGAAGAGGAGAGTCTCATCATCGACCTCCACTCCCTCCACGGAAACAAGTACGCTTTCTGCTTCTTGACACCGTCTATTAGACCTTGCTTCTTGACACCTTGCTTCTCCAATCGAAGGTGGTCCACCATCGCCGCCAGCTTGCCGGGGAGGACCGATAACGAGATCAAGAACTACTGGAACACCCACCTGAGGAAGAAGCTGCTGCGGATGGGCATCGACCCCGTGACGCACCAGCCCAGAACCGACCTCCGTGTGCTCCCCGGCCTGCCCGAGTTGCTGGCGGCGGCCAACTTGGCCGGTGGATTCACGAGCAGCCTAAACGATCCCCTGCACCTGCAAGCAGATGCTGCGCACCTGATCAAGTTGCATTTGGTGCAGAATCTTGTCCAGGTGCTGACCAGCAATCCCACTCCAAATCTGAACCAGATCATGGGTCCGTTCGGATCAGGCTTCCTGAGGAACTACCGACTCGACGATGTCGACGTGCCTTCCAGCCGCCAGCTGGAGAGCCTTCTTCGTCATCTTCCTCATGGTTGGCTGTTGCAGAGCACAGCGCCGATGGCCTCGAGCCTTTCGACTCAGGGCTGGCAGAGGTTCGTCGACAGCCTTCATCGTTCGACGCGTGAGTCCAGCCGTTCTGTGGACGCCGGAGACCAAACAGCTGCAGCAGCAACAGAAGACGTAAGCTCTGTTAACGAAGGTTGTCTCCCAACCTCGGATTCTACGCCTCCATTTCTTTCGTCATCTCCAGTAAACATGAACAAAGGTGAAGCGATCACCATCGATGGATCCATCAACGCACCCTTGGAGGCATGGGACGCGAATCTGGATGATCAAGACGATCTTGGCTACTGGAAAGAAATCTTGGAGTGAGTACTCAAGCAACTTCATCTTTGCTTCTCGGCGTTAAAAGGGTTCGTGTATCAATCTAATGCTGTGTCAGCTGTTGCTTGCAGCCAAATCTCATCATGGCCCAACACACCATAGAAGTCAATTTGCTGATGGAAAAAGGAGTGTGGATTGATTTGTGAGGTAGAAACATTATGCCAGCATGTTGTTACGATTATTTCCATGTCGAGACTTGAGATGGTTTCATGTGCACATAATAAATAATACATTTAAAGGAATAGATGCAGAAATATAATATGTGTTGTTCTTTTCAACAAGGTTGCATTTGGTAGATGAAACCCCCTGAAACGTTACTATCTAACAATCAGCTTCAGCTAGTGGAGTTGGGGTTGACTTGTGGCAAGAAGGAAACAGGCATTTAGGTTGGAGCTGAAAGGTTTACCTCACAGGTAGCAGACAACCCATTCATTCTGTCTCTGGGATTAGGGGGATCCAAGCGATGTTCACCTGTTGTGAGGGTCAGTTTATATCTTAATCTCTCGATGAACATATGCATATAATGAATGCATCATTGTCGTGTATAAAAGATAACAAGATAGATAGATTAATCGGGATTATATGGGGGGACAAGACACAGAAAAGGCTAGCGGAAGCAGATGATATGGTCACAACACACACAGAAAAGACATATGATGGGTTCCCAAGATAGATAGATAGATAGATAGATGCAGGGTGTCCAAATATTCTATTCACTTTATCACTTTCATCCAACAGAAAGCAAGCAGAAGGATATATTTCCTTTCCCGAGTCGAGGCTCTATTTTGATTTATTAGTAATCAGAAGGATACAAATGTTCTTCTACGTCACTGTTTGATGCTCTTGGGACCATCGAAGCAAAAGTCTCGTGATTTGTTACTGGTTAGGTGGATGAACTCACTGATCCCTTACTTTGGCAACAAGCCATCTCTCTCTCTCCTCCACCCCACCCCCACCTTGACAACGCTCATCCATCGGCAATAACTCGCTTGATTCGGAGAGGTGGATGCGAATCTACCAAGTAATAAGGTATGGTATGGTATGGTATGGAAAAAGCATTCTCTCTCTCTCTCTCTCTCTCTCTCTCTCTCTCTCTCTCTCTCCTAGGAACATGATGATGTTGTTTTCATTCGTCATGTTTTATTGGGTAAAAGATGAGAAAAATGGATTACATGATGATGTTGTTTTCATTCGTCATGTTTTATTGGGTAAAAGATGAGAAAAATGGATTACATGATGATGTTGTTTTCATTCGTCATGTTTTATTGGGTAAAAGATGAGAAAAATGGATTACATGATGATGTTGTTTTCATTCGTTATGTTTTATTGGGTAAAAGATGAGAAAAGTGGATTACATATGTAACCTTGTCCCACGAGGAATAACATGATATCAAGTAGGTAAAATGCACGACCAACCCATCTACCTACACTTCACGTACGTAGTAGACAAGTAGAATGCTACGTTCGACACAAACATCATCAACTAATTGACGTTCGGAAGTCCAAATGTACTTTTTTTTTTTTTGTGGAAATTAAAATCGTTGTGTCGTAGAAAAAATAAATTTATTCTTATTGAAATAATCACGTAAGCATAGGATCATTAGCCATACCGACATCCGATTAGTATCTATATCATCATCGTTCATGTCACCGAGTCCATGCAACAGATTCGATTTGGGCTTTTTTTCTCTCTCGAAGAATTTTCTTTTTCTTTTTCTTTTTCTATACATAAAGGCACACATTCTATATTCTAACCTCGGTTAATAACTGACTTGAGCATTATAGAGATGTCTCATCAGAAACACCTCGACCTACGTTATGCAAGTGGGGCTTCAAGTCATGTTTCTTCTACCCCCATTTTCATGTGATTATCAAGCGGACAATCTTCCATCGACAGATATCCATCTTAATTCGACAAACATACAAAATTCTCTAAAGAATAATGCCAAGTGGCAGGGCATCCTCTAACCTCTAACATGCTTCGAAGAACTGACAAGTCCTAATGCCGATGCAGAAGAATTAACTTGCAGGACAACGCTTTGAGTTAGGTAAGATGTCAAGCTTTTGATCGAGTAGACTGAACTAAGAAGACGATAGTTCGGAGTCCATTGTTAGTTTGGAGACAATACAACTTAGCGTGCTTGGACAAGCAATGGTTTCAGAATGAGATGGGAGTCATGTCACTTGATGCCACTTCCAAGCGAGGCATGATGTGTGATGAGTATAATAATGTTTCCCTTTGGACTTGTGTTTTGGTTTTTCAACAGAGTAGGTAACTAAATCTTTAGCATACTAATCTATCTCACGATAACACTTCTCTTTGCTGTAAAAGCACGAGGATTCATACTATGGATGTTTATGGATATCTATCAGAAATAATTTGAGACAAATTCCATAAGCTTTGCTGTTCTTGGTTGTCAGCCACTGGTTGATTTGGCATCATTGTGGGATAAACTTTAGTGATCACCACAAAAGATGAAAGAGAATCAAAGAGACTGGGAATTTTTTTTTCGTAGATAATGTGTTTGACTTCATAAATTTTGATGCATGCAACTCCCAATACTCAAACAAGAAACCATACTTCTCACTGAAAGAAAGAAATCTCAATCATC